GACATGTCCATCCTGGGCCTCCTGCAGTGCCACAACGATGCCACCCGAAGGTTGCAGGAACAGCAACTCATATTCCGCTTGGGAACCCTGCAGCCCAATGGTATCAATGTGGATTTCACAAGTTTCAAAATCTCCCCTCCCCCTACCGCATCCCAAAACCAGTCCAGCTCGTCCCTGCCTCCCTAACCTGTTCTTCCTCCCACCTATCCCCTCCTCCCACCTCAAGCCGCACCTCCATCTCCTACCGACCAACCTCATCCCGCCCCCTTGACCTGTCCATCCTCCCTGGACTGACCTATCTCCTCCCTAACTCCCCACCTACAGTCACCTTTACTGACTCCATCCCTGCCTCTTTGACCTGTCTGTCTCCCCTCCACCTATCTTCTCCTTTATCCATCTTCTATCTGCCTCCCCCTCTCTCCTTATTTATTTCAGAACCCCCTTCCCCTCCCCCATTTCTGAAGAAGGGTCTAGGCCTGAAACGTCAGCCTTCCTGCTCCTGTGGTGCTGCTGGCCTGCTGTGTTCATCCAGCCCTACACCTTGGTATCTCTGCGGCTATTTCCTTTACAACTCTGGGATTAGGAGGCCATTAGGACCAGGGAACTTGTTATCCTTTAATCCCATTAGTAGCTGTTCCACTAGCAACTGTTTTAACTTCCTCGTTCACTTTTGTCTGATTTCTACTATTCTTAGGATGTTGTTTGTGTCTTCCACTGTGAATCTCTGCTTTTTGCTCATTTCCAACTATTATTTCCCCAGTTCCTAGGGATGAATACACACATTAGCTACTCTCTTCCTTTTTATATTCTTTCAGAAGCTTTTGCTGCCCGTCTTTATATTTCTTGCTGGTTTTCTCCCATTCTCCAATTTCTCCTTTGTTTTTTAAGTCTTCCTTTGCTGTGCTGGTTTACAAAACTGATTCTGAATCTTCTGGCTCACCGCTATTCTGCTCGTAAAATCCATGTCTCTCCTTTCAATCCAATTGAATCTTTCACTTCCTTATTGATCTATTCTTTCTGGCAGCGTCTTTCGTTCTCTTTGCTGAGAGTTATAAAATAGCTCCTCAAATTTCCACGACCGTTTCTCCACCATCTCACCAGTTCACCTTGCAGTGGAATGTGGCTGTCGCTCACGAGACCAGAATGTATTGCTCAACCCTATTGCTCCTTGATCTGCTGGAGGGAGAAGGACATATCCAGAGACGGTGATGATGGTGTTGTCTGGGATATTGTCTGTAAGATATGATTCCGTGGGTATGTCAGGCTATGGCCTGTCTAGTCTGTGAGACAGGTCTCCGAGTTTCAGCACTAGTCCCCAGATGGAGGGGAGGCGATGGCCTAATGGTATTATCGCTGGACTGTCAATCCAGAGACTCCAGGAGGTGGGTCTGAGCGGGATGCTCTTCAGACTGTTGGTATGGACTTGATGGGCCAAATGGCCTGCTTCTATACTGTAGGAATGAGTTGAAATTGGGGGAAACAAAATTATCAGTGGGACTACTACTGCAAACGTCATTTAGCTTCACCCATCCTTTGGGGCGGCACGGTGGCACAGTGGTTAGCACTGCTGCCTCACAGCGCCAGGGACCCGGGTTCAATTCCACCATTGGACGACTGTCTGTGTGGAGTTTGCACATTGTCCCCATGTCTGCGTGGATTTCCTCCGGGTGCTCCGGTTTCCTCCCACAGTCCAAAGATGTGCAGGTTAGGTGGATTGGCCATGCTAAATTGCCCATAGTGTTCAGGGAGGTAGAGGGCGTATATTAGGTGGGTTATAGGGGGATGGATCTGGGTGGGATGCTCTGAGGTCGATGTGGACTTGTTGGGCCGGAGGGCCTGTTTCCACACTGTAGGGATTCTATGATCCAACCCGCCTTTCTCCACTGCTGAGGAGGGAGACTGTTAGCTCTGGCACTTCTTTCCCACTGATCAACACTGGACCCTTGCCAGTTACAGCTGCATATCAGTCCCAAACGATTGGTAATCTCACAGAAGGACAAATGCGAGCCTATTCACCATCCACATCCACATCCATGGGTGAGCGTGGGATGTTTGACATTTACGTCCCACGCGCTCATCCGAAAGCCTCCACCAATCACCGGCATTTTGTGCCAGCTATCAGCAGAGATCAGTGCTTCCTTGCTGTTACTGGGAGCTCTTGGACACAAAGACGAAGATGTCAAGTTGATTAGCTAGGAGACAAAGAGGACCATTGTTCCGTTATTCTGAGATTTACAGTAACCGCGCACGCAGGGCAGCTCACAGGGGCTGGCATAGTTTGGGATGAAATATCTTGGCAGTTCACTGGGTGGAGCGGGGAATACTTTCTCAAATACAGCTTGGTGTAGCCTCAGTCCTTGCCAACATGCCTGCCCCGTGGCCCCAAGAGGCTGGTAGATGGGAGGGTTGTGACCCTCTCACCTCCTGGGCAGCATAGTGGCTCATTGGTGAGCACTGATGCGTCACAGTGCCATGGACCCAGGTCCATAGAGTCATGGAGATTTACAGCACGGAAACAGATCTTTTGGTCCAACCCGTCCATGCTGACCAGATATCCTAAATTAATCTAGTCCCATTTGCCAGCATTTGGCCCATATCCCTCTAAACACTTCCTATTTATATACCCATCCAGATGCCTTTTAAAATGTCATAATTACACCAGCCCCCACCACTTCCTCTGGCAACTCGTTACATACACGCACCACCCTCTGCATGAAAATGTTGCCCATTAGGTCCTTTTTAAATCTTTCCCCTCTCACCTTAAACCTATGCCCCTCTAGTTTTGGACTCCCCTACCCTGGGGAAAAAAACCTTAGCTATTCACCCTATCCATGCCCCTCATGATTTTATAGACCTCTATAAGGTCACCCCTCAGCCTCCTACGCTCCAGGGAAAACACCTCCTCCAACCCTGGCAACATCCTTGTAAATTTTTTCTGTACCCTTTCAAGTTTAACAACATCCTTCCTATAGCAGGGAGACCAGAATTGAATGCAGTATTCCAAAAGTGGCCTAACCAATGTCCTGTACAGCCGCAACATAACCCCCAACGCCCGCCAACTCCTATACTCCATGCACTGATCAATCCCACCCTCGGGCGACTGTCTGTGTGGAGTTTGCACATTCTCCCCGTGTCTGTGTGGGTTTCTTCCGGGTGCTCCGGTTTCCTCCCACAGTCCAAAGATGTGCAGGTTAGGGTGGATTGGCCGTGCTAAATTGCCCATGGTGTCCAGGGATATGCAGGCTAGGTGGATCAGCCATGGGAAATGCAGGGTTACAGGGATAGGTTGGATCTGGGTGGGATGCTCTTTCAGAGGGTCGGTGTGGACTCAATGGGCTGAATGGCCTGCTTCCACACTGAGGGGATTCTATGACTCAAATTACTTGGGGAAGGTCAGCTACCGTGGTGAGACGCACAACAAGCTCCCAGGAGAATAAATGAGCAAATAATTAATTAGCTCCTGTGGGTTTTGGTTGAGAGATTAATTGTGGGTTAGCAGCAGACATTAGAACCAATGTCCCCCCCAACACCCCACTATCAACATTGACCAGAAACTGAACTGGATTCACCATATAAATACAGTGGAACAGGTCAGAGGCTGGGAATCCTGCAGCGAGTAACTCCCCTCCTGACTCTCCCAAAGCCTGTCCCACCATCGACAAGGCACAAGGCAGGAGTGTGAGGGAATACTGCCCCCACCCCCCCCCCCTTCCCTTGGTTGGGGGGCAACCCTGACCAACACTCCACAAGCTCGACACGATCCACGGACAAGTCAGCCCATCCCCCCCTGGATTGGCACCACATCCACAAGCACCCCTTCCCTCTGCCACCGACGCTCAGTCGCAGCAGTGTGTACCGTCTACAGCGTCTCCCCAAGGCTCCTCATACAGCACCTTCCAAACCCGTGGTTGGCTGGGTGGCAGATTTCGAATGTCAGAGAAACATCAACACACCCTGTGGGTTCAATTTCCACACCCCTGAGGTTATCATGAAGGGCTTCCCTTCTCAATCTCAGCCCCCCACCGTCACACATCCCGCTCCCCCGCCCCCCCACCTCCAACAAGAAGTGTGATGACCCTCAGGTTAAACCACTGCCAGTCGTCTCTCTCCAATGAGACAGCGCTCCTGTGGCCTGGCGCGACTGTAGTGAGATCACTTACCCCCTGGAAGGACAAAGCCATGGGATCACACAGACACACACACACACAAAGTCACACACAGACACACACAGACACACACACACACACACACGCTCACACAGACACACACAGAGTCACACACAGACACACTCACACACTCAGACACACACACACACACTCAGACACACACACTCAGACACACACACACACACAGACACACACAAACACAACACAGACACACACGCACACACACACAGACACACACGCACACACACACAGACAGACACACACACAGAAAGACACTCACACACACACAGAGTCACATTCAGACACAGACAGATAGACACACACACACAGACAGGCAGACACACACACACGCGCGCGCACACATGTACGCACACACACACAGACACACACAGAGTCACACACAGACACACCCACACACACACAGACACACACAGAGTCACATTCAGACACAGACAGACAGACACACTCACACACAGACAGGCAGACACACACACACACAGTCACACACAGTCACAGACACACACACGCTCACGCGCACACATGCACGCACACACACACACAGACACACACAGAGTCACACACAGACACAGACACACACACACACGCTCACCCACACAGACACACACACACAGAGTCACACACAGACACACAGACAGACACACACACACAGAATCACACACACACAGACAGACACACACACACACACACAGAGTCACACACAGACACACATACATGCGCGTGCACGCACACATATGCACGCACACACACGCTCACACACATGCACACAGACACATACACAGACAGACAGACACACATACAGACACACACACACACACACAGAATCTCACACACACACACACACACACACACACACACACACACAGAGTCACATTCAGACACACACAGACAGGCAGATACACACACACACACACACACACACACAGAGTCACACACAGACACCAACACATGCACGCACACACACACACGCTCACACACACAGACACACACAGACACAGACACACACAGAAGCGCGCGCATATACATGCACGCACACACACGCTCACACACACAGAGTCACACACAGACAGACACAGGCACAGACACAGACACAGACACGCGCATGTGCTATCACACACATGCACGCACACACACATGCTCATACACACACACAGAGTCACACACAGACACAGACAGACAGACACACACACACACCATCCCGACATGGAAATATATTGGCCGTTCCTTCAGGGTCAAAATCCTGGAATTCCCTCCCTAAGGGCACTGTGTCTCTACATCGTACGGGATGGGGACTGCAGTGGTTCAAGAAGGCGGCTCACCTCCCGCTTTCTCAAGGGGGGGCAATTAGGGGGATGGGTAATAAATGTCAGCAACATTCACATCCAGTGAATGAACTTTTTTTTAAATTCCCTGCAGCTCTCACACAGACACTCACTCCTTCTCCACCCCCACGATTGATCTCACTCTGACTCCTCCCAGTCTCTGTAGGGGCTGAGTTTCTCAAAATCTCCACTTAAAAAGGTGAGGGAATTGGAGCAGGGTTGCTCACCAGAGGGGAACCGAGAGAGAGAGAGACAGAGAGAGTGAGAGACAGGGGCACAGAGAAAGAGAGAGAGACAGGGAGGGAGGGAGAGATCACAGAGGGTCAGAAACAGAGACAGAGAGTGTAGGACAGTCGGGGGAGACAGACAGAGGAACGGGGAGAGACACTGAGAGATACAGTGACAGAGAGAGAGAGATAAGCAGGGATAGAGAGACTGAGGCAGAAACAAAGAGAGTGAGAAACAGAGAAAGGGAGAAATTGAGACAGAGAGAGAGAGAGAGAAACAAAGGGAGAGACAGTGAGGGAGAAACAGAGAGGGACAGAGACAGAGGGCGAAACAAAGAGAGAGATACAGAAAGACAGAAAAAGAATTACAGAGACAGAAAGAAAGATAAACAGAGAGACAGAGAAGCAGAGACAGGCGGAGAGCAGGATAAGGAAAGGGGAAGCCAGACAGATATAAAGAAGCCGAGTCTGTGCAATTGAAGCTACAATCCCAGAGTTCCGGAACTATTGCCAAGATGTCCAGAAACTTCACCGGCACCTGGAAAATTAAGAGCAGCGAGAACTTCGAGGAGCTTCTGAAACAGCTAGGTGAGAGGGAGAGAGAGAAAATATGTACGTGTGAGAGAGAGAGAGTGTGTGTGTGTGTGAGAGAAAGTGTGAGTGAGAGAGAAGCGTTTATGTGTGTGTGAGAACGTGTGCGTGAGAGAGAGAGAAAGTGTGTGTGAAAAAAAAGAGAAATTGTGCGTGAGAGAGAGAGAGACGAGAAGAGAAAGTGGGAAATTGAGACAAGGATAGAGAGTCAGAGAGAAAGAGTGCATGTAAAAGTGGCAGAGACAGATGCAAAGAGGTAGACAGACTGCTAAGAAAACCTGATAGTGTTACAAGGAAGCGGGTGAGAGTGGGAGAGAGAGACAGACACAGAGAGAATGAATTTGTGGACAAAAAAAAATCAGAGAAAGAGATAGGGTGTGAAATATAAAGTTTGATGCAGACCGTTCCACAGTGAAAGAGAGAGATACATACTTAGATAGAGAAACAGAGAGAAGGAGAGGCAGGTAGAGACAGAGAGCGATAGAGAGAGAGACACACTCACAAATGGATAAAAAAAGACAGTGAAACAAAGAACATAGAGTACACCAGACAGACAGAAGGCGTTAGGGCCAGGCTGTGTGTGCGCGTGGGTGCATGTGTGTAAGAGACAGCAGGAGATAGTGAGAGAGTAACAGAATGAAAGATAGTAGGTGACAGAGACACAGACACAGTGTGGGAGAGAGAGTTTGTCAGACAGAATGGGAGGGTGTGTGAGAAAGGGCTCACACAATCAGAGGCTGAAGATACACAGAGTAGAGTGAGAGAAATATAGCCTGAGTGTTTGTGTGACTGTGAGAGTCTGTGTGTGTGTGTGTGAGACAGAGTCAGTGTGGGAATGTCTCTGTGTGAGTGTGTGTGTGTGAGAGACTGAGAGTGTGTGGTAATGGGTGTGTGTGTGTGAGTGTGTGTGTTTGTGTGTGCGTGTATGTCTGTGTGACTATGAGAGTCTGTGTGGGAACGTCTGTGTGTGTGTGAGACTGAGAGTCTGTGTGGTAATGTCTCTGTGTGTGTGACTGTGAGAGTCTGTGTGGAAGTGTGAGTGTGTGTAAGATACAGTGAGAGAGTGTGTGTGGTAAAGAGAGAGAATTAATTGTGGGGAGACACGATAACAAAGCAAATGAGGGAGAAACATAGAGAGAAGAAAATAATGAGAAACAGGAGGATATAGTAGAGTCAGTGGGAGGAATGAGTAAGAGGGATGGAAGAGGAGATTACAACAGAGAGAGACAGAACGTGGGACAGTGTTGAGGGAAGGCAAGAGAGAGATTGGGAAATGCTGATGGGGAGAGACCCAGAAAAATAGAGAGAAAAAGAGAGCGAGAAAGAGGGGAAAAGGATATTGATGGAGAGAGTAAGACAGAATAGTGGGGGAGATGGATGGAGACAAAGAGAAATCAGTGTGGGAAAGAGAGAGTTGAGGGACTGAGAGAGGGAGTGCAGAAATAGAGAGATGGAGGGGCATGGTCGGGGTACAGGAAGTTTGAGAGGGGAAGGGCAAGGACAGAATAGAAGAATTAGGGGACAGCGAAGGGGAGGGAGACAGGAGGAGAGAAAGACTTGGGAGGCTGCACAGGTGGAGGCAAATTGGGACAGTGCTGGAGGTGAAGTGGGATAGAGAGGGAGAGAGAGGGTAAGGGGAGAACAGAGGACAGCATAGAATAAAGCAGGCATAGCATGAGGGCAGTGTTGCGAGAGGGAGATGGGTTGAGTGAGAGAGAAACCTATCGCAGAGTGAGGGAGGGGGAAAGGGTGAGGAGGAGTAAAACAGAGAAGAGATGAAAGGGGAAAGGAATGGGGGAGAGAGTGGCAGGTCTGCGCTGAGAAATGGGGAAGAGAGAATGGGGGAGAAGGAGAGACAGACAAACATGGTCTCTGAGGACACAACCCTGGGAGTGAGCTCTTCCTCTGTAATTCCACACAGACAGACAGACATACACACACACAGACTCACTCTCTCACACACACACACACTCAATATCTCTCTCACACACACACACAATCTCTCTCTCACACACACACACATTATTCTCCCTCTCACACACGCAGTCACACAGACTCACTCTCCCACACACACAGACTCATTCTCTCACAAACACACACAGACTCACTCTCTCACACTCACAGACTCATTCTCTCACACTCACAGACTCTCTCTCACACACACAGAGACTCTTTCTCACACACACACAGACTTAATCTCTCTCTACCTCTCTCTCAGACACACATACGCACACACACTCTCTCTCTCTCTCCATCTCTCTCTCTCACACACACCCCTCCAGAATGAAGGTCTCAAGTGATGAGCACTTTTCAAAAAGGACAAGTAACCATCACAAGCTTCAGAAACAGCAGCAGGCCATTTGGCCCCTTGAGCCTGCTTGTCTTGTTGATCACAGTTGATCTATGGCCTGGGCAGCCCCTTCCCCCTCTTTCTCTACATCTAGTATTCCCCTCTGTGATCAATACCTCTCAACACCCACTCAATCCTAGACTGTCCAGCACTGAGGTGGTGTGTGAGGAACAGTTCCTCAGCTTCACTGTAATGATCTGGACCTCACTGAGCAGGAGACAACTTCCAAATTTGCAGTTGACATGAAACTCATTGTAAACGGTGAGGAGCACAGTGTGGAACTCCACAAGGACATTGATAAATTGGTGGAGTGGACGGAAAGGTAGCTGACGATGTTCTCTGTAGAGAAGTGTGAAATGATGCACTTTGGTCGGAAGAATATTCAAAGACAATGTAAAATAGAGGGTACAATTCTAAAGGGGGTGCAGGAGCAGAGGGACCTGGGTGTGAATGTGTACAAACCATTGAAGGTGGCAGGGCAGATAGACAGAGCAGTTAATAAACAGGCAGGTCCTCACCTCTATTAATAGGGGCACAGAGTACAAGAGTAAGGAGGTGATGTTCAACTTGTACAAGACACTTGTTAGACCCCAGCTGGAGTATTGTGTACAGTAATGTGTGTCTCATTGCAGGAAAGATGCGAATGCATCGGACAGAGGTAGAAGCAATTTACAAGAATGGTTCCAGGAATGAGAAACTATAAGGATAGACTGGAGAGGTCTGGGGCTGTTCTCCTTGGAGAGAAGGAGGCTGAGAGGGAGATCTGATAGGGGTTTTCAAAATCACAAGCATGGGTTATATAGACAGGGAGAAGCTGTTCCCTCTTGTAAAGGGAAGAAGAATGAGAGGGGCACAGATTTAAAGCGATGTGGGGAAAATGTTTAACTAGGCTCTGAAATGTGTGGGGGAAATGTGGGGAAGGCAGGTTCAACTGAAGCTTCAAGAGGGGCATTGGATCATTATTTGGATAGAAATGGTGGGCAGGGATATGGGGAAAAGACAGGAGATTAGCACTAGGGGGATAGAACCAGCGCAGGCAGGCACAATGGGCCGAATGGTCCCTTTTGACACCATAAACACATCTGGGTTTCTGTGACCTTGTCAGACTCTCTCAGAATGTGATCATTTTCAATCAGATCACCTTGCGTTCTTCTAAGCTGCAGAGATTCCATGGGCTGTTCCACTCAATCTCCCTTGTCCCAGCCATCAATCTGGCAAATCTTCACTGCTGCTCCTCCTACATTATCCTTTCTGAGATAAAGGCACCCAAAACAGAATACAGTATGCTCTTGCCCACACAGCCCTTTATAACAGCAGCAAGGCTTCCATTGCCCCATGTTGCAAGCTCTTTGCCAAGCAAGTTATAGACCCATCGAGACATAGAGTTGTACAGCACGGAAACAGGCACTCCATTTCAACTTGTCCAAGCCGACGAGATATCCTAAATTAATCTAGTCCCATTTGCCAGCATCTGGCCCATATCCCTCTAAACCCTTCCTAATCATGTGCCCATTCAGACACCTTTTAAATGTTGTAATTGTACCAGCCTCCACCACTTCTTCTGGCAGCTCATTCCATACACGCATCACCCTCTGCATGAAAAAGTTGTCCCTTAGGTCCCTTTTAAATTATTTCCCTCTCACCTTTAACCTATGCCCCTCTAGTTTTGGACTCCCCCACCCTGGGGGAAAAGACCTTGGCTATTCACCCTATCCATGCCCCTCATAATTTTATAAACCTCTATAAGGTTACCCCTCAGCCTCTGACTCTCCAGGGAAAATAGCCCCACACTAATCAGCCTCTCTCTCTAGCTCAAACCCTCCAACCACAGCAAAATCTTCTCTGAACCTTTTCAAATTTCATAACGTCCTTCCTATGGCAGGGAGATCAGAATTGAATGCAGCATTCCAAAAATTAACACATGTATTTTGGTATAAGAAACACAGAGAGACAATACAGCATCAATGGTACAACTTTGAGGGGAGCGCAGGAGCAGAGGCACCTTGGGGTTCATGTACGTGATTCTCTGAAGGTGTCCAGGCAAGCTTAAACAGATTTTAAGAAGGTTGTTAGGATCCTTAGGTTTATAAATAGAGGCATAAGAGTATAAAAGCAAGGAAGTGATGCTACACCTCTACAAAGCATTGACCAGACCATATTTGAAGTGTTGTGTTCAGTTCTGGGCAACTTATTTAAGGAAGATCTTAAAGCCCTGGAGAGAGTTCAAAGGCGACTTACCAGAATGATTCCAGGAATGAAGGGTTTTAGATATAAGGAAAGATTAGAGAAATCAGGCTTGTTCTCCTTGGAGCAGAGAAGATTCAGACGTGACCTGATTGAGGTGTTCAAAATTGCGAACGAGTTTGATAGGTCAAAGAAGGACATTCTGTTTCCACTCGCTGGTACGTCAGTAACGAGGGGGAGTCACAATTTCAAGATTGTCAGCTAGGTGTGAGATGAGGAGAAACTTCTTCACTCAGAGAGTTGTTAGGATTTGGAATGCTTTGCCTGGGCATGTGGTGGAGGTGGATTCCATAAGAGGTTTCAAAAGCGAGCTGGATAGATATTAGATGAAGTTAGAGGGCTACAGAGGTAGGGCTGGAGAGTGGGACTAAGCTGGGTAGCTCTTTTGGGGGCTGGTACTGACACAATGGGTCGAATGGCCTCCTGTGCTGTAAAATTATATGATTCCATACTTTCCTCACTACTTGTTGTACCTGCTCCCTCCGAGGCCTGGAGAAGGGCACTCTCTGAGTGCAAACGTTTGTCACTCCCTTGTTCAGTCTTTAAAACGCTATTCTGTTTTCTTTCATGTCTACCAAAGGGGCAGCTTCACCCTCCCATGCATGAGGCTGCATTTGCCACTTTCATGTCCGCACCATATCTGTATGGATCCCTTTCTGTGTGCTCTCCCTACGGCTTACATTCCCATCAAGCTTTGCAAATGTAGATACTGCACCTCCCCCCCTCAGGGAAGGTGGTTTCGCTTCACGGAGCGTCGGTGGGGGGGGGGGGGGGTTCCCCCAGTTGGGGGGGGGGGGGGGGGGGTGCGTTGGTGGGAGATGTGTTTTAGCCAGAGACCACGGGTCGTGTAGCTCCGACTGGCCTTGCCAATCCCCCCCAGGCCTGATGTTCCTTCACCCCACCACCTCCTTTGCAGACGTCAGCCTGTTGCTGAGGAAGATCGCAGTGACTGCTGCTTCCAACCCCAGCGTGGAGATCAAACAGGACGGAGAGAACTTCTACATTCGCACGGCCACCCCGGTCAGGACCACAGAGATCCGGTTCCGGGTCGGAGAGGAGTTCGACGAGCAGACTGTGGATGGGAGGCCATGCAAGGTGAGGTGAATGGGGTGAGGAAAACTGAAAACTCAGGGACCTCGGTCACAGAAAGGACAGTGCCCAATGACCCCAGTTACCATGGGAACTGAGACTAGTTTGCCCCAAGGCTGTGGGCCCCTAGACACTGATTGCTGTGCGACCTGAAAAGCTGGTTGCCATGGGCCCTGAGACATTGATTGCTATTGGATCCAAGACATTGGTTACCATGGTTCCTGATAAACTGGTTGCCATGGGCCTAAGACAATGGTTGCCATGGGACCCGAGACACTGGTTACCATGGGCCTAAGACAATGGTTGCCATGGGCCCTGAGACACCGGTTGACATGGGTCATGAGACACTGGTTACCATGGGTCCTGATAAACTGGTTGCCATGGGCCTAAGACAATGGTTGCCATGGACCTGGAGACACTGGTTACCAAAGGTCCTGATAAACTGGTATCTGTAGACCACCTGGACAACAGTTGCCTTGGGCCCTGAGACATTGGTAGCCACTGGACCCAATACTGGTTACCATGGGTCCTGATAAACTGGTTGCCACGGGCCTAAGACAATGGTTACCATGGGCCATGAGACACTGGTTACCATGGGTCCTGATAAACTGGTTGCCACAGGCCTAAGACAATGGTTACCATGGGCCATGAGACACTGGTTGCCATGGGACCCGAGACACTGGTTACCATGGGTCCTGATAAACTGGTTGCCATGGGCCCAAGACAATGGTTACCATGGGCCCTGAGACACCAGTTGACATGGGTCACGAGACAATGGCTGCCACGGGCCTGAGACAATGATTGCTGTGAGCCCTGATAAACTGGTTGCCGTGGACCCCAAGACATTGGTTGCCACAGGGCCCAAGACTCTGGCTGATGTGGGCACGGAGACATTTGTTGCCATGAAACCCAAGGTACTGGTTGCCGTGGACCCCGAGATGTTGGTTGCCATGGGCACTAAGATGTTGGTTGCCATCAGTCCCAGGACATTGGTTGCCGTGAATGCTGAGAAGTTGGTTGTCACGTGCACCAGGATGATGGTTGTCATGGGCACCGAGATGTTGGTTGTCTTTGGGAATGAGTAGCGGTCAAAGACCAAGAGGATTTGAGAGTGGTGGTGTCCCAGAGTGCTTGCTGCTGGGTGAGGCGGGTGGGTGGAGAATTTCCCCACAGGGGCTCAACCCAAGGAAGGGGTTCTCCAACTCTCACAGGATTGACTGCTGTTTCTTTCTCGCTCCCTCCAGAGTTTGGCACGATGGATTGGGGAGAATAAGATGGAATGCGAGCAGAAATTACTGAAAGGAGAGGGACCAAAAACCTCCTGGACCCGGGAACTCACCAGCAATGATGAGCTCATTCTTGTAAGAGCCTTCAGTTTGCATTAGCTCCATATTAACCTGCCCTTGAAAGCCAGCCTCCATGAGGAAGGTGCAGGAATGTCCTCCATGAGGAAGGTGTAGGATACATAAATGGGGAAATCCTCTCAAGCCAGTTAGTTAGGCCACAGTTCTGGGCACCCCGCAGACACAAGGAGAACGTGCAAATTCCACATGGACAATCACCCCAGGGTGGAATCGAACCCAGGTCCCTAGCGTTGTGAGGCTGTGACACCAGCCACTGACCCGCCAGGCTGCCATCAATGCATCTTGTGAATAGCTGGGTCCAACCTCTGAGGTTCCTGCCATCTTGAAAATGACCCATTTACTCCTGCACTATGTTTCCCACCTGCCAATCAGTTCTCTGTCCAAGCGAGCGTATTATCGCACCCCTTACCCCATCCCATTTCTTTTGTTTTGATCTTGCACACTGAACTCTTCAGATTTTGCATCCACTGGTTCTCTCTCATCTACTCCATTTGTCACATCCTCAAGAAACTCCAGTAGGGTTGTCAATTTCCTTTCTATAGAAAGAATGCATATTGACTTTGTGTCATTCTGGTGTATTTTTGAAATATCCTGTTACCACGTGCTTTATAATATGACTCCAGCATTTTCCAACTGCTGATGTTTGGCTAACCAATCTGTCATTCCCCTAAACCTAACCCTGCCTCTTTGAAAAACATTTACCAAACTCCAATCTACCGGGACTGCTCTCAGAGTCTACAGAGCTTTGGAAGATGACAACTAATTTTTCCATTGTCAACTCCTTCAGTGTCGTGGCATGGAGATGGCTGAGGAATTTATTAGCTTTCAATTTCTCAAGTGGTACTTTTTTTTAACCAGTTCCTGCTTCCCAGTTGACCATCACTTCCCGAGCATTTCTGGAAAGTTACTTGTGTTTCTCTTTGGTGAAGACAGAACTAAGGTAGCTGGTTAATTGCACTGCCAATTCCTTGTTCTGCATTCTCAGTTCTCCTGTTTCGTACTGTAAGGGATTACATTTGTCTTCCCTCATCCTCATCTCAAACACAAATAGGAATTCTAACAACCTGCTTTTACGTTCCTTGTATTTTTTTCCTCAAATTAATTAACATCAAGGCCTTCCTTTACTGAATTCTAAATTGCTCCCAATCCTCAGTATGCTACCTTTCTAAAAGGAAATGTATACAACCCCCATCTTGGGTCTATTACAATCTCTCAATTCTTTTGTTAGCCATGGCTGTATTTTTGAAGCTGAAATAACCAGGCTAGTGGTGCTGTGTTTGATTCTGAGATGAGCTCCTGAACCCTTGTCTGTGTCATTACTCAGACCACCCATTCCTATCTCTGAAACATCATACATCACTGCTCCATCTCAGCTCCCCGCCATCGTAACCTCCAGACTGGATTATTCCAATGCACTTCCAGCTGCTCTCCCACATTCAACATCTGGAAACTTCATACACTCGACACCTTACCCTTCCCTATCTCTGTCACCTCTCCCAGACCATAAACCTTCTCCATTTCTGCGATCTCCTCCAGCCCCTACACCCCCTCCCTATCTCTGTCAGTCCCTCCCAGCCCCCTACACCCCCTCCCTATCTCTGTCAGTCCCTCCCGTCCCCACACCCCTTCCTATCTCTGTCACCTCCTCCCAGCCCCCTACACCCCCTCCCTATCTGTCACCTCCTCCATTCCCCAACACCCCCTCCCTATATCTGTCACCTCCTCCAGCCGCTACACCCCCTCCCTATCTCTGTCACCTTGTCCAGCCCCCTACATCCCCTTCCTATCTCTGTCACTCCCTCCCATCCCCTACACCCCTCTCTATCTCTGTCACCTCCACCCAGCCCCCTACACCCCCTCCCTATCTCTGTCACCTCTTCCATTCCCCAACACCCCCTCCCTATCTCTGTCACCTCCTCCAGTCCCTGGACCCCTCCCTATCTCTGTACCCCCTCCGAGACCATAAACCTTCTCCATTTCTGTGACCTCATCCAGCCCCTACACCCCCTCCCTATCTCTGTCCCCTCCTCCAGCCCCTACACCCCCTCCCTATCTCTGTAAAATTCTCCAGCCGTTACACCTTCCCATCTCTGTCACTTCCCACAACCCTCCAAGATCTCTGTTCCTCCAATCCCAGCCCCTCGAGCATCCCCCAGTTCCCATCACTCCATCACTGGCGGCTGTGCCTTCAATTGCCTGGGAGGGGTGGGGCCCTGAGCTGTGGAATTCCCTCTCTAAGTCTCTCCACACCTCTGTCTCTACGTTTGACCTACTCCTTAAAACCCAACATCTTTGACCAAATCATTGGTCACCAATCCCTAATAACTCTGGACATGACTGGAGGTCAAATGTTGTTTGGTAGTCACTGCTGTAGAGGGATATCTAACTACGTTGAAGGTTCAATGTAAATGCAAGTTTCAGTTGTAACCCAGGTCGTGCTGCCTCAAAGGGCAATGGGAGAGGTTCAACAGGAACTTGCAAAAAATTAGGTGAGGGAATTATTGGAGAAATACTTGAAGGAGAAAGATTTTCAGGGAGCGTTGGTGGGGAGGAAGGAATGTGTGTGTGTATTTGTGTGTGTGTGTGAGTCTAATTGGAAAACTCTTTCAATGAGCCTGTCTACGCATGATCGACCGAATGGCCTATCCCAGAAGAGGGGGGAAGGGAATAGGGGTGTTCATATCAAGATTGGGGATGGGCTCAATGGTGGGGGTTTTCATGGTGTATGATTGGGGTGTGTGGGGGAGTGTCCAAATGGGGCAAGCTCCCAGGGCAGGGGACCCTGAGGTGCCTGTTATGGAGTTCTGATGGAATTATCTCTCTGTCTCTCTCTTTTGTAGACCATGACTGCCAATAATGTGGTGTGCACACGCCTTTATGTTCGAAACTGAGTCAGCGATCAGTCTCTGAAGTGGAAAAACCAAAAAGATGGAAACTCACCAGAACCTTCACCCCTGACCCCTATGTCTAAACCCATTCGTAAAACGCCAACTGGAGATCCAGAACCAATCCCCCCCCTCGCCAGAATGGACTCTTCACTATCTCCCTCTCCCCCTACCCTTCTTGCACCGCTCGTTCTCTGGATGGACTTGACCAGAACAGACCACCTCCCAACTCTATGCCTCTGAATGCCCTCCCCTAGTTCCTGTTTGCCGCCTTCTGGAATAGATCATCCCATTTCCCCCAATCCCAGAATGACTCCTCCCATGACTCCTTCTCCCAGGATAAATGGATGGACCGCCCCATTAGACACCCCTTTCTGTCCCGTTCCCATTGCTCCCCTTCTCCTGAGATGGACTTTCCCATTTGGCCCCACTTCTGGGATAGATAACCCCAGATAAATGCTCCAATACGCCCCTTTCCTGGGACAGACCCTTTGTATCCCCTTGAACCCCAGGACAGACTGTCCATTTGCCCCCTGTCCTGGGACAGACCACCCAATTCTCCCCTCTCCTGGAACAGACCCTCCAAATTCCCTCTCTCCTGGTGGTATGGGGGGAGAGAGACCCTCCAAACCCCTCACCCTAGGACAGTTCCACCAATTCCAATCCCTCTCCAGGTGACACCCTTCAATTCCCCTCCCTCCTGAGGGAGACCCTCTAAATCTTCCCTCAGCTCCAGGGCATACTCTCCAAATTCTCTCGGTAATGGTCTGACCTCTGGATGGTTCTCCCAGGGGAATGGGGAAAGACTTTTGGATGCTCTTGGCTGTATCCTGGCCCCGATTTTCCCACCCACCAACACCATTCCCCCCCCCCCCCCCAACCCCACAACCCCCCCCCCCCAAAACTCCCCGCCCTGGTATCTTCCCCCCACCCCACCGCTGATCCACACTAGCTGTTTGACACTGTGACCCCTCCTCAGTCCAGCATGTGCATCTCAGTCTCCTTTCCCTGTTACGATCCTCTCACTGCATGTTTCTTTTTGGTGAAATAAATGGTGCACCAGGCTGGTCTCCTGTCATCATGTGCCTCTTGACCCTTTCAATTCAATGCCTCCTGAGCCTCGAGGGGATTGGGATTGGTTGGTTAAGTCTCACAGAAATTCAGCTGGTCTTGAATTTATCCCTATTTCTTGAAGACAAAGAGCTTTCTCCACCCCCCCAACCCCATAGCAACAAGGCGGATGGACATTAGTTGGTTGGGGGACATTGGTTACCATGGAAGTATCGAAAGGATTTTTTTTGACCAGAGGTGGGCACCGCTGGTGAGGTTGGCATTTGTTGCCTGTCCTTAATTGCCTCTTGAGCCAAGCATTTTGCTTGGGGCTGTTTCGGAGGGCACTTAAGAGTCCACGTCAGCGCAGTGGGGTCTGGAGTCACGTGCAGGCCCAGACCAGGGTAAGGGCGGCAGATTTCCCTTCCCCCATGAGTGAACCCCCCTCCCCCCCAGACAGGGGAGTTTTTACCACAATCGATGACTGTCGTCACGGTCACCACCCCCGAGATGAGATTCCAATTCTGGAATTGATTCATTGTGTTGAAGTTGCACTGAGGGCTATGGGGGGGATTTGAAATTGGGTGCATTAGCCTGGGATGGGTGGGGTGGTGTCTTTGGATCATTAGTCCATTGACATTACCACTTGGCTACCAGGTACCGAAGGACGGGGCTGGGCACTGGGGTGAGATACACGTGGAGGGGATAACGGAGAAGGGACTGAGCAGATTGCAGGAGAGCAGATTCTGCACTTTTCTCGTATTTTACCTGAGCTATGAGGTACTTGTGAGGGTGAGGGTACAGTCGGAGTGCCAGCCAAGGTGCTGTGGGTGCATGGGCAAGAAAGAAGGAAGGAACAAAATAATTTGCTTTTTGATGTGGCAGACACACCCCTCTCTGTCTGGGAGGGATAGTCATCTGCCTGTTAACAAGGTACAGCGGCCAACACAATGAAAGGCAGGCCGTGTCAGGAGGAGTAAAAATAGGGGCTGATTTCTTTTTTGCCAAAGGGAGGCAAGGCTTACAAAGCAGGATCCCACGGGCTGTAACCATGGAGACCCACGCAGTGTGTCAACCAAGGTAGCGCCCGGCTGAGGGTTTAACAATGAGCCACCAATTAATTCATGGGGCTGACTATGAGGAGACACTGTACATACCTTAAAAAGAATGGAGTTTCCCAAAGAGGAAGGAAGACTGGCTCATTAGGAATTTCTGAAGATCTTGGAAGGTTTCTCTCAGTTGAATGAAATGCAGACTGTTTACTTGCTGACAGGTTCAGTCCAGTTTGACAAATGGGAATCTGCCAGGGGAAATATTCAGAACACAACCACTCCTGATGAAGGAGGAGACCAACCCTTTAGGGCAAAAGATAGGGCTGAGGCTTTTGCAGCAATCTTTAGCCAGAAGTGCAGGCGGATGACCCATCTCAGCTGCCTCCAGCAATCCTCAGCGTCACAGATACTAGTCTTCAGCAAATTCGATTCGCTCCTTGTGATATCAAGAAACGGTTGGAGACACTGGATACTGCAAAGGCTATGGGCCCTGACAACATCCCAGCAATAGTACTGAAGACTTGTGCTCCAGGACTTGCCGCTCCCCGAGCCAAGCTGTTCCAGTACAGTTACAACATCGGTATCTACCCAACAATGTGGAAAATTGCCTGGGTATGTCTTATACACAGAAAGTAGGACAAAGATAGGTGGAGGGACAGGTAGTGTTGAGGAAGTGGGGATGATGCAAAAGGACTTGGATAGGCCAGGAGAGTGGGCAAAGAAGTTGCAGATGGAATTCTATGTGGGAAAGTGTGAGGTCATGCACTTTGGTAGGAAGAAAAGAGGGCATAGACTATTTTCTAAATGGGGAAAGACTTCGGAAACCTGATACAGGAAGAGATTTGGGAGCCCAAACTTCTCTTAAGGTTAACATGCAGGTTCAGTTGGCAGTTAGGAAGGCAAATGCAATGTCAACATTCATTAAGAGGCCTAGAATACAACAACAGAGATGTACTGCTGAGGCTGCATAAGGCTCTGGTCAGATCAAACTTGGAAGATTGTGAGCAGTTTCGGGACCCAATGTAAGGAAGGATGTGCTGGCCTTAGAGGAAATCCAGAGGAGGTTTACAAGAATGATCCCAGGGAAGAAGGGCTTGTCATATGAGGAGCGATTGAGGACTTTGGGTCTGCACTCAATAGAGTTCAGAAGGATGAAGGGGGAATCTTATTGAAACTGACAGAATTCTGAGAGGCTTGGATAGAGTGGACTTTGAGAAGATACTTCCCTTAGTAGGAGAGGCTAGGATAGCCTCAGGGTGAAGTTTTAGAACTGAGGTGAGGAGGAATTTCTTTAGCCAGAGGGGGGTGAATCTGTGGAACTCACTGCTGCAGATGGCTGTGGGGGCCAAGTCATTGAGTGTGTTTAAGACAGAGATAGATAGGTTCTTTATTAGAAAGAGGATCAAAGTAATTACAGGGAGAAAGCAGGGGAATGGGGTTGAGAATCATGTCAGCCATGATCAACTGGTGGAGCAGACTCAATGGGCTGAATTGCCCACTTCTGCTGTTATATCCTATGGTCTAAATCCAACCAGCCAATTTCCATCCCAACAATCTGCTCGTGATCAGCAGTAAAGTGATGCAGGGTGTCCTCAACAGCGCTGTCAAGCAGCATCTGCTCAGCAATAACGTACTCAGTGACGCCCAGTTTGGGTTACGCCAGGGCCACTCAGCTCCTCACCTTATTACAGCCTTGGTTCAAACATGGACAAATTCCAGAGGTGAGATGAGACTGAAAGCCCTTGACATCGTGGCCACATTCGACCGAGTGTAGCATCACGGAGCCCTAGCAAAACTGGAATCAAAATGTATCAGGAGCAAACTCTCCGCTGGTTGGAGTCATACCCGACGCAATGAAAGATGGTTGTGGTTGTTGGAGCTCAGTCATCTCAACTCCAGGACATCTCTGCAGGAGTTCCTCAGGAGTGTCCATCTTCAGCTGCTTCATCAATGACCTTTCCTCCATCGTAAGGTCAGAAGTGGGGATGTTCACCGATGATCGCACAATGTTCAGCACCATTCGCGACTCCTCAGATACTGAAGCAGTCCATGTTCAAATGCAACAAGATCTGGACAATATCCAGGCTTGGGCTGACAAGTGGCAAGTAACATTCGCTCAATACAAATACCAGACAATGATCATCTCCCATACTGGAGAAACTCAACAGGTCTGGCAGGATCAGTAGAGAGGGAAACAACGGTAAAAATTGTGACCTTGCATCAAGGAAAAGGTTGTGACTTGAAACATTCTCTGTCTCTCTTGCTGTTGAGTATTTACAGCACTTCTGCGCTTTTGTTTTCGATTTCAGAGTCAGATCATCTCTCCACAATTTAATTACATCACCATCATTACATCCTCACCACCATGTGGTTAACTATTAAATGAAAACTAGAGAAGCTAAACTGTGGCAATAAGAGCTGGTCACAGGCTGGAAATCCTGCAGCAGGTATCTCACGCCCTAACTCAAGTCAGGAGTGTGAGGGAATACCCCCCACTTGCCCTGGATGGGGGCAGCTCCAACAACATTCGAAAAGCTCGACACCATCCAGGACAAAGCAGCTGCCGCTTGGATTGACACCACATCCACAAGCATCCCCCTCCCTCCGACACTCAGTCGCAGCAGTGTGTACCGTCTACAAGATGCACCGCAGAAATTAACCAAAGATCCTCAGACAGCACCTTCCAAACGCACAATAACTAAACTGCCCCGAACTCCTCGATTAGATTCCAGTCTGTAACTCCCTCCCGGGTATCTGTTATTCTGTATATAAACTGCCCCAAATCCCTCAATTAGATTCCAGTTTGTAACTCACTCCCAGGTATCTGTTATTCTATATATAAATTCCTCTGAAACCTTTGATTAGATTTCAGTCTATATATAAACCACACCGAACCCCTCGATTAGATTCCAGTCTGTAACTCATTCCCGGGTATTGGTCATTCTATATATAAACAGCCCCGAACCCCTCGATTAGATTCCAGTTTGTAACTCACTCCCAGGTATCTGTTATTCTGTATATAAAACAGACCAAACACCTAGATTAGATTCCAGTCTGTAACTGACTCCTGGGTATGTTTCTATATATAAACTACCTCGAACACTTCAATTAGATTCCAGACTGTGATTCGCTCTGTTTATCTGTTACTCTATATATAAACCACCCCAAAACCCTCAATTAGAATTCAGTCTGTAGCTCATTCCTGTGTGTCTGTTATTCTATATATAAACCATCCCAGACCCTTTGATTAGATTCCAGTCTGTAACTCACTCTCATATATCTTTTCTTCTCTACATAAACTGCCCTGAACTCCTCGATTCGATTCCAGACTGTAATTCACTCCTGGATATTTGTTATTCTATATATGAACCACCTAGAATTGCTTTTAGAGTTATAGAGTCATACAGCACAGGAACAGACCCTGTTTTTGGCCAATATCCCTCTAAACCTTTCCTTGTCATGTACTTATCCAAATGTCTTTTAAATGTTGTAACTGTACCTGTATCTACCACTTCCCCTGGAAGTTCATTCCACATTCCACCCTCTGTGCGAAAAAGTTCCCCCTCAGATCCCTTTTAAATCTTTCTCTTCTCACCTTAAAACTATGCCCCCTAGTTTTGAACTCCTCTACCCTATGGAAAAAGACCTTTGCCTGATGAAGGGTCTAGGCCCGAAACGTCAGCCTTTCTGCTCCTATGATGCTGCTTGGCCTGCTGTGTTCATCCAGCTCTGCACCTTGTTGTCTCGGATTCTCCAGCATCTGCAGTTCCTACTATCTTTGCTATTCACCTTTACAAACCTCTAAAAGCTCACCCCTCAATCTCCTACTCTCCAATGAAAAAATCCCAGCCCATCCAGCCTCTCCTTATAGCTTAAACCCTCCAGTCTTGGCAACATCCTTTTTTCTGAACGCTCTCCAATTTAATAATATCCTTCCTCTAGCAGAGCGATCAGAACTGTACACAGTACTCCAAAA